TTGGGGTCAGCGGCCCAACGTGTAACCCACTACAGCAACAGGGCTACAGGAAATGCAGTAGATGCCCAATTAACGTATGTGGGAAGGACACAAGGTCCCCTGGAGAGTCGTCCAGGAGCACACAGACACCCACAGGACCCTTCCAGGGCCACTCTGGTGCTACTCCAGCCACGAGGGCAAGAATTCCAGGCATTTCCTACTCAGTGCCCCTAGAGGACAGGGGAGAACTACTCCTGTGGGATTCTGGTGACTTCGAACTGCTGACCTTTTGGTTAGCAGATCGGAGAAAGTCCCTCACAATCAGCTGGCTGGCCCCTGTAAGTCTGACTGACACTCTACCCCCGACCTGCCCAGCTCCCTGACCGCGTGGTCAGCCAGTGCTGGGGGCTGATGGGGGCTGCCCAGGAGTCATCACAAGAAGCAAAGACACAGAGTGCTGGGGGTGGATCTGTGCTCACAGCATCCCCAAATCACTCAGGTGAGATTCCTGAGCAGTGGAGTCACTGGGGGGCGGGCAGCAGGTCACAGGCTCCCGCCCTCCACAGGAAACTGAGAGAACACTAGTGAGCTGGGGGAGCAGGTGGGAGCCCCCCCGCGCGTTCACAAGCCCCCAATACAGTCCAGAGGGCCCCCAAACTGGAGCCCCTCCAACAGCAAGCACTTCTGTGACCTCCTCCTGGGTCTTCAGGGCAGAGCTGCATCCACAGGAGCCTGGAACCACAAGGGCATCTGGAACCAGGGCAGGCTCAGGGCTGGTACCATAAGGCTGGTGGGGGAGGCAGGGTGGAGTGGCTGAGGGAGGAGGAAGTGGGGGAAGCAATGAGGTAGAGCTGGAGCCCAGGCGCTGGGACAGGACCAAGTACCAGGTGCCACCACTAGGTGGGGCACAAACCGCAGCAGAAAAGGTAAAGGGTGAAGGAGTGGTTAGCAGCTAAGCACTGGGTTGCTAATGGTACTTGGAGCCCACCCATGGCTTGGCAGGAGAAAGATGCGGCTTTCTGGTCCTGTAATGACAGTCTCAGAAACCCTCTGGGGCGGCATGTTAGTCT